TGAAGTCCCTTGATTTGATCATATAAGACAAATGTTCATTCTGTTGTGAGCAAATGTGTAGGAAATAAGTGAAGAGTCAAGTCGGGGCTGAATCACTCCCTTGACCAGGAGCATCTATGGAAAAGACTTAAAAAGCTCTTGAGAATTCATATAGGCATTCAGTTTTTTATTTTATAGGAGGAGCAGCAGTCCTCCTTGTCGTGGGGGACAACCCTGCTTCTACCTAACAACTTAAAAGAAGCTGGAGAATTGACCTGTCTTTTAACAGCAATACTAATACAACAGTTCTTCAAGAAGAGCCGTAACAGAGATGACTCTCCAGAAAATGATGTGCATGAACTAAGATAGCCGTTATCTTGGTAACACCAAAACAGCTACAGATGTATGGATGGAAAAAACCAAGATAGCAGGAAAAGAAGTATCTCGGTAGTTTGATAAAAATATTGATACAGAGAAACGTGCAGTGAGACTGACTCCTCACCCAACCACTCAGCCCATCTCCTGCCTGCTGCTTCCTCCAAAGAAGCGACGGCAGATAACGGCCAGGGGGGGATCAAACCCCTCCAAAAAAATGTCCTGTCTTTCAGGAGTACACTGAGTGAGTTCAACTGCAGTTTAAACTTGCTGGTAGTAATGTGTATTAATTTCCAGTGCATGAACAAACATGCAAATTCCTCATGCCACTTCTATTCCTGATAACACTTTCTTTTTCAAAAGACATTTACAAAAATTCCAGGAAATACCAGTTGATACAATACATTCCATAAAACTGGCAAGAAGGCTCAAACATGGTAGATCCATTCAGCAGTGGAGGATGTGAGGTCTTCATGCAAGTGTTAGGATTGTCCCTGTGCAACTTGCCTTTGTACCAGGGAGAACTGGTGCTCACTACTTCAGTTGCCAACTCTAGACCAAGAACACGGGTGGCAGCGTCCTCGCAATGACGTTTTGTTGGCATATTCTTCCCTGGGGTCCCACTGGGGTCTGAGAGGTACCATCACTTCCTTGGCCCAGCAATGCTACTACTGGAAAATAAAGGTCAAGAATTTTGTAGGCAAAGTCACTACATCTGCAGGAGTCAAGATTATTTCTAGGGTCCTTTGGACTAGAGAAGTCGCTCAGAAGACCACTTAAGGGAGTGACATGTTACTGGAAGCTTTTGAGCTAGTGCTTGATGGCACTTGTGCGCCCACTGAGCTTTGAGACTACGAGTAGAGGGAACAGCAGTGAGCAGATTTGACAAACACTGTCTCGTACAACGGTTCTCATCGCAAGGTAAGCGTGACACAGGCGTTTCAAGACAGCAGTCATGTTCCAAGCTGAACTGGTTCACATCAGAAAACGCAAAGCCAATTACCCATCTGTACAGCCTTAGGTTTGTTGGAAGAAATTAGACTCATTTCTGAGCCAAATAAGGACAGACCCTCAGGGAGAGGTCCTCGTCTACTCAAAAACACAGAAAGAAGAGGCCTGAGTTTGGATTTCAGTTAAACTGCAGCATCTTTAAAACACGCTTTTCCGTGCTCATCATACTTCCCCTGGGAAGGATAATGCGTCCACAGGGACAAGAAATATGAACTCTGCAATGGGGTCAAACTGGAAAAAAGTTAACATACCAGAATTTCCTTCTGTCAGAGCATTATTAAGCAGGCAACCGAGGATACAAAGACGTGCTTGCTAAATTTTAACATGTCAGAACGGGAAGAAATGGTACAGGAAACATCCTCCATCCTCCTAACCTTTCACCAGCACTGCGAAGTTGGGAACACAGGAGTAAAACCTTCTGCCTGTTACAGTTCTTCTAGAGCATGTAACTTTGACTGACGTGGAAAACAAGGGTCATGAGAAACATATTTGGCTTTCATATATGCGTATCCAAAATAACTCTTTTCTTGGGATGTCAGCCTAGCTTCTTCTTCCCTGGCTTGTCTCAGCAGATTCAGGAGAACATTCTTAGATGAAAAAAATGATAACAGGATACATAGAAATAAAGAGCAACTAAGGAAGTAATTAAAAGCTACCCTATTTTACATGAGACACAAGTCAAAGTATTACAAAATACGGTATCTTCGAAGTAACATCTCTGACTTGCAACAACTTCAGAATGATCTGAGCCCCTGTGATCAAAAGTTCGGAAGTTAGCTTTGCTTATTAAAAAGCAGATGAGCAAATCTTTAATCTGTGTTTTGCCTGAGAGCTTAAGACAGGTGTGCTAATACCAATACAGCCATAAAGTACATACACAACAGTTAAGTTACTTCTTTCATTTACATGACAAAGACACCATGGGACTGTCTGAGCTCATCAGGAAAGGTTGAGCCACACTGATACGAAAGAACAATCAGAACATGGTGATGTCGGCATGATTTTTTACAGTACAGGAAGAGTGTATCCTATGCAACATTATGTCCCCGATACTTAAATGTCGCCTGTCTCCCATGGCTCCTACTGTGGTCAGAAACCACAGTGGTGGCAAAAACATACAAAGGAGAGTAGAGAATTGGGGCAGAGTCCCAAAGCACAGGCAGATCTCAGCAACAGAACACAGGTTTGACCCAAGAGTCGTCTGTGGCATTTCTTAACATTTTATAGGCAACACTGTAGTGAAGCACTTGGTTTCAGCGAGCAAGAAGCATTCTGTAGATGAAATAACTTCCATGTTTCTACTTCATTACTCTTAATCATTTATATGGTGTTACAGAAGAAGAAAACAAGATATTGACGTATGCTGTATGCCACTGTAAAATTGTTTTGTGCTTGCTAGGAGCAAGCAGTGAATACTCAATATGACATACCTTTTCAATGCAACAAAAACTCAGTTGAGAAAAGAAGTTACAAAAATTGCATCCTTGTTCAAACTCTACGTAAACAATGCTTGTTTAGCAGTGAATAGAGTTAGTTTTCTCAGGGTAGAGGAATTTTTCTAGTAAATTCACAGTTGGACAAAATATTCACTTGTTCTTTCGTTTTGAAAATATGGCTACTTTATTTAGTATCTTCCTTTAAAACACAGTAATTTGCAATGCAGTAAGATGGCAAACCTGCGCTAAAAGCCTCTGTTATGAAAAGCTCTGTGATCAAGGATTTCCCTATTCAATTACAACACTATTAACTTCAGTTGTATTCCACAGTTTAAGAAGAATTACAGGGTTGTTCTTTTTTGAAAGCAAGCAATTGCCCTCTCTAACAGTTTTTTGTTACTATTTTCTTTGAAGCATATCCTTTATTTTTTATTTGTTTGTAAACACCTGTTTTATATGCCCTTAAAAGCAATGGACATTATTGTTGCTCAGACAAATCAGTTTATATGACAATTAATTCCTCCTCCAAACAAGTCCTGTTTCCTGAGTTACATTTACATAAGTGTTGAGACTTTCACAGTGTGTTTTATCAGATATAGACATTGACACAGCACACACTTGACAGCAACAGCTTCAAAGAACTTCAAATTCCTCTACATCAAATAACATCTGAGGATGAGCGACATACTCAGCCTACAGAGAAACAGTAAATATACATTTTAGCTATTAAAATTTAAATTATTATCTTTCACAAAGGCATCTTCATGACCCCATAATCAAATGGCTTCTACCAACAGCTACATTTCCATGTCTAGAAAAGCATCCTAAAGAGTCTCAGAATTGGATATTTATGGAAATAAGGTGACTCCTGGATTGTTAGTCTGGTTTCATGTAAGTCATACTCTTTCTGAAGTTACAAATGCAAAGAAATTTTCTGCTGCAATGATGTAAAATTTTGCTACCCTTTGTGACAAATAAGCCTATACTTCCACTCTGACTCAAAGAACTGAAGAACAAAATCAAACATGTTGAAACTGATACACAATCACTACACCAGTTTTGCCTATGTGTGAAAAAATTGAAATAATCCAAGATAACATCAGAATAGCAGTGCAGTAACACAACAAAACCTGAAGTGAAATTCAGACTCAAACTTTTGAATATTATTAACAAAATTAAAATGAAGAAAATGTCAGTTTGTTCTAATACCAAAAATCTATATATCTCTGAGTTTGATGATGACGACGGTCAGGTAGTCACAGCTGCATTATTTTTAAACCAGTTTTTACAATTCATAGTAAAAAGGAAAGATTGAACATGAGTGTAGTCTGTCAAGCTGAGTTCCTATCAAGCTCATACAGCCTGTGCTGAAACTTGTTCTACAAGATTTTCTTAACTATTGTCGCTGCAAGATGGATTAAAGCTAGAGCAATATGCCCACTCACACTATTCTTACACCATGTGGCTAAGTAAATATAGTATTTAATGCTAGTTTTTAAAACATGCAGTAGGACACAACAGATGCTGCAAAATTGGAAACATGCACAATGAATCCGTCTTCACTAAAAGGGACACAGCCTGCTAATTCCCAGTCTGGCAGAATATTACAGCATCAAAAATAATTTTAAAAGAAAGGCAATAAATACAGAATTGCAGCGTTTCCTGAAATTCCCCAACATATACAAAAGCTTATTGAAAGCAGGACTATTCCAGGTGACAAGGGGATTTAGGTCACCAATACCATCTCTAGCTGCTAACATTATGTGATACTGAAACAAAACTTGAATAATATGAGGGATTCTGGTAGTTAATAGGTCTTTTAGCTACAGTACTGTCCAACAGGGTATTTTGACACTAAAATGGAAGTTATATATATTGTTTCTACTTCAAATGTTGTCTAATATAGGACTGTCTTCTACATCGGTAACTTAGGTGATACCATCTGTGAGAGGTCACTCTCCTGTGATACTACAAATAATTTTCTCTACTTAATATGATCAAAATTGTTCCTCTCAATAAGTATAACTGCCCTTCAGATACTTAAAATTACAAAACACCAAATTGTAAAGCAGTGTTTCAACTCCACCAAATGTACACACATTCCTACTGTCAGACTGACAGAACTAGAGGCAGTAATTGTAGCGCAACTAAAAGCATATTGTGTTTTGGTGTTTGCCGTTTTTGGTTTTTTTTACTCACTTTATTAATAAAATCAGGTATCTCCTGTTTGTCCGAAAGTTGGTTTAAAGAAGAGCAGCACTCTACCTCCAAGACATATCCTTCACTATGGACGTCACCTTTTGGAGACCTAAAGAGGCAGACAGAAAAAAAGAATCAGTTTCTGTTGTCAACACGGGGTATCCCGACACCCCCTTTATTAATATTTCTCATGGAGACCTAACCTTCCGACACATTCACATCCGTTGAGCTCAACACGGTTCTGACAAGCGGCAGCTACAGCGGCCCACCTACTTGCTAGGGAAGGAAATGGCACCAATGACTGCAGATGGTGGAATGTTTCAGGGACTTCCAAATTGCTTTATCTGCCCAAGAAACACTTTTTCAGCCTGGCATCTATGGCCAACACCAAGGATATGCACAGGTGATGTAACAGAACATGCAGAAAGCAGGTTCCAACACAATGGGATGACAGATGCTCTGAGCTGTGTCTGAAATACCTTCTCTTTCAGAAGACACTAACTCCTAAAATAATTCATCTGCCATATACATTGCTGAACAAATCACTGCTCTGGCAATGTGGTATTGGTCAAAATATGCCAAGGGAAAGTTTGGAAGTTATCCTGAATGATCCTGAGAAGCAGTCTGTAGGCATGCACTGCAAAGCAATGCTACTGAAGACAGTTTTCATCTCCTCTGGATTCCCATGAAAGGAAACTGATACGCTCGATCAACAGAGGAAATCTAGAGAATCATGTTTTATCAGTTCTTTAGGAGAACACATGGAGGAACGTACAAAAATAAAAGCTAGTCTGTGATTCTTGAGATCAGTAACAAAGTAGTTATCTTGACGTCCCACACTGAGAATCAAAAGATCTAGTTTGAAGTAAAGAATGAATCCTAAGCCAGCGGTTGCTTGATGCGCTGGGTACCTACAGGACAGGAAAAAAAGGTGCCGAAGTTGGAACCAAGAGCGCTGAGGAAGCAGCAAAACAAGGGCTTTCCAGGCTTGCCATGCTTGCAAAAGCGAGTCTGCGTCAAAGCCCTGTTCTGGGAACAGAGACTGTGTGACACGTAAAACACGCTTCAGCTACAAATGGTCCCAGGGGCTTTCCCGAGATCTAACAGTTCCTCAGAGCCATGAGATGCGTAGGCTGCTGACTGCAAACTGGCAGTGCGTTTCCTAGGCAACACTGCACAAATTTTCTGAAGTATCACATGACTTTGTTTCTCTTATCTCACTTCCCGCGGGACAGGCAGTACCAGATTCTGAATTGTTTGGGAACACTCAAGTTCTT